ATAGAGAAGTGCGGCACAACGAACAAGTTTGGAAACATGGAGGCGTCCCGGGGATGCTGGTCTTGACATTTATGTTGCATCGAGGGCAGACCCTCTCCTCAGCGGAAGATCGGCGAAGATCGGGAGCTCCAATACCGCCGACGCCACCGGCGCCATGCGCACCCTTACCGAGTCCTGGTGGAAGAGAGAAACCAGTCGGCCCGCCAGAGTTATCCTGTACTCCGTGGTGAGGCTGTGGATTCTGCTGATTTGTCACAGCAGCGTCAGGTCCGTACCTCCCGCGAATGACTCCCTGAGACGTTCCATGCTCAACCTGACCGGTGAAAATCCCCCCTGTAGGGGAACATCCGGGATACGTGTTGATGGTCCCCCTCAGAACAGCTCGCCCGACTACGGGCGAAGACATTGCCCTTGGTGGCATTGGCCCGGCAGCTCCGGCGTGGGAACAGGAACCAGAGTTCCCTTGGTGCGGTTCAGGACTCCGATGTGACGGATCTCCACGTGATGGCCCGGATCCAGGATCAGGAGCAGTGCCATCCCGCTGATTATGATCAGGAATGCAATCAGGTCCTCCAGGCCCCGCACTGGGACCGCGATGCTTAGTTTTCCCGTCGGGGTCAGCTCTCAGACAACCGAGGCAAATAGGTCGAACACTCGATCCAAAACGGCGCACATCGTCAGGTGAGGCGATGTGTTGATCGCAGTACTCGTCCTTGCATATGAGACACCTCACAAGTCCGTGTCTCCCCCCTCTTCCTCTGCATGCGCGGCATCTAGGAAACTGATCGCTGCACTTGAAACACGAGTTACAATCATGGTCAAAGCAGTCTTCGCAGACTGACTTGCCGCAGCTTCGGCATGGATAGCGAGGTTCCCGATGCTGTGGATGCCCGGGCTCCTCATGATCACACCTGGCCCGGTTATCAGGGGCAGCGCCGGCAGCCCGAGCAATGGCCCTCGTTCTAGAGGGATCCCTGCCGAAGATGGGGGCTGATGGTGACGGTGGGGGTGGCCCTGAAGGAGGTGGAGGTGGAGGAGGCCTAGCCGAGCTGACGGTGCGAGCATCACGAGAGGGAGAATCTCTAGGAGCCCTTCCCTGGGTTAAGGGATCAGTGTCTCCAGATTTCTCCCATGGTCCCGTTCCGGCGGTCGAAGCAGCGCCAGCACTTGAAGATCCGCAGGCAGCAAGAGGTTGCTCCCTCAACTCAGCGATCTGCATGTTGATCTCATTGACCCTCAGCACAAGCTTCATAAACTGCTCTTGCATGTCCCTCGGATTGGGGCCTAAGCTTTTGTCATGAAGGTCCTTGACGCACCTAGCAATACGGGACAATTGAAGCTTGAACTCTTCCTGTTTCTGTGAGTTCTCATTGAGAGCTCCGGACATCCTATCACTGAACTGCTTCAGGTCGGTCGCAGGAACGAGCTGCTGGATATACGTCTCGACGTTCCCACGGATGGTTCTTTCCCTTGAGATGGTTCCCTCAATGTCGATGACACTGCGAGAGTTCGCCTCAACTTCGTCCTTGATTTTCCGAACCTCAGCCTCAAGGGCCCCGATCTCAGAGAACCTAAGGAGCTGGACCTTGACGTTCTCAAGTGATTCGGCCTGCTCGCGAAGTTCAGCAGCGGATATGACGATCGAGTCAGACCTCTCATCATACATCTTGAAACGCTCATTCATCTCCTTCTCGCTTCGGGCGACCCACTCGTGGAAATCACGGAACTTGGCCTCGTGTTTTGAGAGAGTTCCGGCAACGGCAGAGAAAGATGATTCAACCTTCTTCTCGAAGGCGTCAACACGGTTATTGATCTTCTTGATCTCACCGACGCAAGCGTTGACATCATCCCTACATGAACGAATCTCGGTTCTGCATCCCTGGATTTCGGCCTTGCACCCCTTTACCTCGTTGTGGATCGCGAGAAGCAGTCGTTGAAGCTCAGATGCAACAGGATGGCCGCCACTTATGGAAGCAGACGGAGCAGGACGACTATCAGCGTCATGATCTCCGCGCCTATTTTCTTCCCTGTCAGGAGTGCAGCCCGGAGTTCCAATTTGAAAGAATGCGGGGACGAGGGAGTTGTTGACCGGTTGATTTGACGTAAGCCCTCCATGACCAGGAGCAACAGTGCTGAGTCCAGGTCTCCGATTCCTGGGCGTAGAGTTAATCCCGTCATCAGTCTCCTTCTCAGACATCGGGGCATTGGAGCTGAGCCCAGACCCCGCAGAGTGGATAGGAACGTCAATAGGATCGTGATGAGCTGGTGGATTAGATCGCAATCGCAACGCAGCTTCACGTCTCTCGGGTGACTCAGAGCTCCTCTTTGTGGCTCGTGAGTCAGTGCCGGTTTGTCCCGACATGTTATCAAAAGATGACGACCCGCGAAGTTGAGCTTGATCTGGATCAGGTTGAGTGAGATCAAGCCGTTGAGCAACGTCACCAATGAGTGGCTTAGGGGAAAGTACTTTGGCAACGCGGCTCGGCGGGAGCGATGTCGTTCGTCTCTCTGGTGTGACCTCGGCCTCATCGATTACATCAAGGATTCCAGGGATGGTTTCATCATCTTCATTTCCTCTCCTGGGTGGCTGATGGAAGGGGATGTCGAGGAGGTCAAATGGAGTGGAGCCAATACCAGGTGTATCCTGCTCGGATCCATCGCTGGTACGGTGGCTGGACTGCTCCTCGAGGTCGATGATGTCGGGGGCGGACTCTTTTCGAGTCTGACGCCGATTGAACGCCGCGAAGAGACCGGCATGGCTTCTTGACGAAGAGGAGGAAGGATTTGGGCCTGCTGTTTCGCGGCCCACATCCGATCGATTAGTACCTGATGTCCGATTTGGCGGATTTGAGCCCGCGTTGTAGCGGTTCGCATCCCGACCTCGGGTACCTGAGGAAAGCGGTGGATTCGGACCAGCGTTGTAGCGGTCCGCATTCCGGTCACGGGTACCTGACAGGTGAGATGATACTGCATCAGGGATGAAGTCCATATCCGCCGGACTGGGGTGATCGTGAATGATGTCAATGTCGGATGAACCTGAGACGGGAGGAGGGCCAGCTATTTGCGGCCAATCCTCAATCGCCCGTTTGCCCACCTCGGGTTGGGCCGAACCTGCAACATGAGAAGGGGAGAAATCTTCAACGGGGTCATTTTCTCCATCATGAGGAAAACCCTGAGTAGGCTCATGCGACGGCAGGGCATCAAAGGATCTGTCAATTCGGGAAGGCTGAGACCTCCAATCAGCATCAAAAAGGGATTGAAAATCCAGATTCCCAACCGAAACGGGGGCACCCGAGTTAAAGTCGAGCCGACCGAAATCAGGCGGTGTAGCCTGCGATCCACTGCCGAGGAGTTGGTCAAACTGATCCCATGTAAGGGACCATGATTGAGCCGGCTCCGGATGAGCAGCATGATGGATAGCCCGGTCCTCGATCTGGAGCGCCACGAACGGAACAGTAGGCGAAATCGATGAGGGCACCTGATTTGGAGGAACCTCAGCCTCTTCTAGAGGGGGTCCGTCCTCGATCTGGAGCACTGCCGCCGGGATAGGGGCCTCCGCATCCTCATCAAACACAACCTGAGAAAGGATCCAATCGTCCGTGATCACCCCGGGATTGGGCTCTGCGCCCACCATCGGGGGAATGGGCCACAGCCGGCTGTCTAAGCCGGAAGCAGCAGGCGCGGCGTTGCCGCGAAGGGCGTTGGCCTCGTCGTCCACGAAGCCCGGCCCACGATGAGAAGCTCCGGGGGACGCCATTGCTCGTACAAGTAGGCGATGGGAGCAGGTAGCGGGTCACGTCCCGCAACCGGATCACCAGCCCCAGCTTCTAGCTGGTACGGCTGATAACCTGCGGTTTTGGGCGAACACGAAGTAGCCCAGGGAATCAAAGAGGTACACGTGGTTCACGAAGTACCAAAAGAACCCAGTCCCAAAGCACAATGTAGAGGGTGCCGGTGACCAGATTGTGGGAGTGACAGTTAATGAAGATCAAGTTTGGGGAGGTTAGGAAACTGGTAGAAGAGGGTAAAGACAAGGGTCGGGCCCGGGAGCACCTCGGCGACCTGCCGCCCACCTCCTAGTGCCGAACAGCTGGAACACCACGGACCTTTTCCGCGATGGTGCAGCCAATCGCCGCACTATGGCGAACGCACGCAAATCCAAGGAAGTCCCGACGGGGGATCCAAATCTTGAGCCAAACGGCCATTCGGCCGTTTTGCCACATGATGAAACAACACGTGAACAAAACACAAAATCAAAACCCGTAACCAACATGGTCGTAATGTTCGGAACCAGAATTGAGTCCTTCACCCCAGTCAAACTAAACTGGCAACCCCGGAACCATGCTGCAAGAATTAGAAGAAGGCGGAGATCAAGGAAACCATACTGCGGATGGACGAAATCCATTTCGCACCACCGTTCAGAATCCCTGGAATGAGTCGATTCCCCCGCAAATGCCAACAAACAGTGGTTTCAACCACGGCTTCATTTCGTGGTGTGAAATGAATTTTGTCCATCCACAGGGGGGGAAAGGCCACCTGCTGAGCAGCAAGCAAAGAAGGCTTTGGACCTGGCCAACATGTGAACAGCTCAACTTGGCTAGGTCCTCCAGTAAAGAGGTTAGAATAAGGGTGCCGACTTGTTTTTTGTCTATTTTACTAGGGGAACCGAATCTCCCCCCAAAAAAGGGTGAGAACCTAGTTGGAGAGGTCCCGCCGCCACGACTTGGCTCGCTGGGAGCCAACTTCGGATCGTCCAGGAGCCCACTGTTGGTCGGATGACCATTGCTATCTCAAGGGTGTCACATGTGGGTGTCTAAAATCCAGGCGCCATTTATCTATTGATTCATTTATGATGATTATTTGTTTCGAGGCTCTATTTATCTATTGATCCATTTATCTTACCTTATTTTTTGAGGGGGGGCGTCCTCAAGGGAAGCCGCGGTGCTCAAGGGCCACCGAAGGCAAACCGCCCGTCGCGAGCCCTGCTTGGGGCTCGCGGCAGAGTCTCCCGCAGCGGCTTCGGACTTGGAGTGCTCCTCAGCCGAACCGGGAAGCATCCAGGGAATGCAGAGGTGCATCCCCGCGTCCCCCATTTCTGTACCTGGTGGTATTTCTTCTTTCTGTTTTTTTGTTTTGTCTTCTTGGATTTTTGTGTACAAAAAAAAACAGGGAGCCTCAGATGGAGGGCATCCCTGACGCGTCCCGATGTTTTGTACTTGGTGTTACCCTTCCACTAACATAGTTGGGAGGGTACCTGGATCAGTCTCCTCTAAAAGGTACCCCCTGTCAGGATGTCATGGCGGGAGTGGGGGTATTTCTTCTTTCCTGTCTGTTGTTTGTCTTCTTTTGATGTTGGGTTTACAAGTCTTCTTTTGATTTTGTGTTTGCAAAAGGACAGAGAGATGTTAAATGGAAAGAAGGACTAAAACCTGCGGTCCAATTCCTGGTGGTTTAAATTTTGACCCATACCCAAATGAATGACTAGTATGGTCCAAAGAAAATGATGCTGGGGGAATGCGCCGGTCACGGTCTGGATGAATCCGCCTGAGGCATCTTGTGACCCTCGGACCCATCTCGATTAATTTCCGGGAGCCCAACAAGAGGAAGGAGGACGTGACTGGACTGGTTGAGCTAGTCAGAGGAGGAGTCTCCTGTTGTCTGCAAGAGGTTCCCTCGATTCTGGACACCAGTCAAAAAGAATCGCGGAGTTGTCAGGCTTGCTCAAAACGGAACATCCAAACATGAACAAGGAAGTCCTTCAAAACAAAGGGTCGAAATCACTCATCTTTTTGAGAATGCCCAGCTACCCCAAGAATCGAGCCCATTGTGAAGACACCGGGCGCTCAATGACAAACTCTGCCTCTAGGATTTGGCTGGCGGACCCTTAGGCCTGAGCTTCCATGAGATTGTGTACATCTGTGTGCTGGTCAGAACTCGGAATTGGGCTGGGGCAAGGAACCAAGTTCTGAACATGGCAAATGCAAAGCGGCCCCCGCTGCTCGCTCCAAACGAACCCCGCTGTTGAGTCGTTCCCTTTCCCTGCGAGCCAGGGTGCGCCACAATTCCTTCGTTCGGCCTGGCGCATGCTGCCAACAAATCGGCCAGACTTGGGCGCGCCTTTTATCGAGGGTACCCTTTTGGGTTGGTTTTCAAAGCATACCAAAAGGAAAGCCACCATTTGCAGGCGCCCGATTATAAAACAACACACCCATTTGACAAAACTGCTTGCTGATTGGAACGTAACATGCATTGCATTTACTCGGCACAGAGATGCGTCCACAAGGCTTAGAAGGGATGTCCTAAAGAAATGGCAACCCCTTCTCAATTGGCTTTAAATTTGTTGTTGAATGGGAAACACCACTTGCAGCCAAAAGTCCAGGAAACAAGCAGGTGATCGTTCTTTGGGCTGCCATCTTGATTGAGCCCCGCTCAAGCTCAAGTTCCCACTTGAGCTAGGGGGGAAGTTCCTGATTGCCTGATTAGAGAGTTCAAATCATGCCTGAGCGGTTGGTGGTACGCAATTGGGGGGAAAAAGGGTTCGGGGTCCTTGACCTTTTGGATGCCGGGTCGGGAAACGAGCATGACTTACATTCTTGAAAGGTGTTGAAACATCTTTGAGCAACCTCCTTTGGTCCCCCCCCCCTTTTTGAGGGGGCCAGCTATTTTTTCAAACTATGGTTCATGTGAGCGTCGACCACACCATTTGCGTCCTATGACCCCTTGTCAAACAATTGGCAAATTCTACAGCCTCGCTTGCCCAAGGTCAACCTGAAATTTGACCTTTGAGCTTCCCCTGGTTGGTCTTTGTTTTGGCCCCAAAAGGTGAACCCCTGTTTTTTCCCCTGGGTCCTTTGGGCAACGAAGCATTTGGAACCTGATGAGAAACACGATCCTTCGGCTTCAGAAACAGGTAGAACCTCTCGCGGTACAGCCAAGCGAAGCTACTGACACCCCTGCAAATGAACATGGAGCCCCCCAAAGGGGCTACCCCAAAAGGGCATTCCTCTACAATTCATGGATTTGAGTACCTCGTGTCAATTGCCAGTGGAGTAGTTCAAGTTCAATTTCCCCGTTGTAGCTTGGGCATTCCCTTTGAACTTTACCCACTTGTACTATTGTTGGCCCTGGTGTCGTTCCTTTGCACCTTGTTTTTCTAGAGTGTACCCTTTTGAGATGGTGTTCAAGACAAGCCAACTCCTAAGAATCTTGGGACCTTGAAAAAGGGGCCCTGTCATAATAGAAACACCAGATGACAAGGCTCTGGCTTCATCCACCCAAGTTTGAATGGTGCATCATCGGTCAATGGGACCGCGGTTTGACTACGGTGTTGGCTCTTTGTTGCGCTTTTTTTGCAACCAACTTACTCTTTTGGAATCGAGAAAATTGGCAACAAATTGCTGCCCTCCACAAGAATACCACCAACATTGTGCTACGTCAATACACCCTACACCCCAAAACTGAACCCAGAAACCCCTAAACATAGGTGGCCTTTTGGAAAAATAGATGGCCCTGGTAAATGGAACAACACCTATCTAAACCAGTGCCATCCATTTTTAACCAGGCTCACCTAAAAAGGACACCTATGCCCCTAAACCCTAAGCCCAGAAACCAATGTTCAGCCCAAACCTGTGCCCCGGCAAGCCCCACCTGATGCTGGGCAGCGCGCGGCTCGCCGGGCGCGAGCCTGTGCAAAATTGTCCGACCTCCGGCCACACCTTTAAACGTCAATCAGCAAAACACGACCCCCCCCCCCCAAAAAAAAGAAGAAAAGAAGAAAAGGAAAAAAACAAACCACGGCAGGAATGGAGGAAACCAACACCAAAACAAACCAAAAAACACGTTGGAGATGAGTTCCCTACAAATCGGCTTCCTTGCGAACGCCTTGAGCTCCCCAATCGGCTTGCGCGCGGCCCGCGCGTTCGAGCGCCTCGCTCTCGCTTGGGCTTCCTGGGCTTCTCCAGAAAGCGGCCCAGGTCGAAGTAGCCCCGCTCCTCTCGCGCTCGATCGAGAACGCGGGCGCCGAGTGGAGCGAGCGGGTGGGGTGCGCCATAGAAGACGCCCCGGAACAGACGCCGTGGGTGAAAAAAATGGGCGACCCCATGGCAAGCAGCCTGGTAGGAAACATGCCGTTGGGAGAAGCCAGGCAAAGCAACCTTTGGCCACTCCGACCATGAAAACCGCAAGCGCCACTTGTGAAGTCAATCGACTTTAACCGCTGTTCACTTCGATTTGGCTTGAGCCCTTCGCGGTGCCTGTGGTCGATTGTCTCTTAATGTCTGTCATGGCTTCTCTCAAATCGGTTCGTCTCCCTTGCTTGTAGGTTGCTCACCAAAATGTCTACTTTGGACAGCGCTTTTTAAATACTTTGCGTGGCAAGACTGACATGCAATCAACAAATGGAGCTGGCCCTGTTTCTGTCCACAACTCCCAGGTGTTCTTCACGTACATTGCTCAACAAAATTAAACGGGGGTGTAACCCTTCTACATATACAAAGATGTAGGCACATAGCGCGGCCAAAACCGGGACCCCCCAAACAGTTCGTGCCGACCTTTTGGGCCCTGACTCCTCAGATGCACCTTCAAATTGTCTGCCTTTACGTTGTTCACATTGTGGTTGAGGAATGGCTCTCAACTTGTTTCTCAATTTGGCTGCCTTTACTTTGCCAAACTTGATCGGCCTTTAGGAGGAGGGGTCCTTAAGTTCAATTTGGTTGCCGTTGCTGTGCGCTGGCTGGGGCGGCCTCTGGGAGCAGGGTTCTTTTGGCTTGGCTGCTTGAGCGGTTTTCTCACTTCAAAGCGCCTTAAGCTGAGTTTCTCCGTTTTTTCTCCGACACGCGACGTGGATCCTGACTTGAACAACGATATCCACTCAATCCGCTCTTGCGACACCCTTGTGAAAAATCAGGCTCCAACGTCAAACACGCACGATATCCACAACCAAGGTGCAACTACTTCTTCCATTTGCTTTAGGCCCCCAAAGAAACAAAAACCACAGTTGTGATAGATTCCTTTTAAAACCAAAAAGGGTGAAACACCTGAATAACATGAGCAAATGGAAGTCTCGTCTATTCTGTCTGCTTGCAACGTGCTCCCCAAGGCAGGGCAAATCCATCTCCTGGCGGGTCATCGGACGGTCATCCCAGGCGTCCTGGCATTGTAGCCAGGCTTCTACTTGTTGACTACCCCCAACAAGAGTTAAACCTAGGGGCGAGTGATTTCCCTGAAAGGAAAACCCCTGGGTTAAGTCTACCCTGGTGTAGTCCAAAAGTAGCACCCTGGTTGTAGCTGTCAGTCTTGCAAGGGAAATGGAAAGACAGGCGGCCTCAAGGGACGAACCCTGCCAATTTGGTTGGAAAAAGGGTTCACCCCATCTTACCTTGGCAGGGACTCTGAGGGAAATGAGTGTTTTCCAGGCAAAAATGCCTTGACGTACCGAACCGCCGGGAGGTGAAGACATGAGTGGCCTCAACCAAGCGTCAGAAGCGCAAAGCCGACTTAGACACCCTGCGAGAAATGAAATGCGCGTTGCCCAGGCGGAACCCCAACAGACCAACCTGAAATTTAGAACAAGCAAACCCAACCCAAACCCAAACCCAAACCCAAACGGACAAAATGCGTTCAAGAACAAGACACAGCAACACAAGCGCACAGTGGCAATTCTGTTGGAATGCAGATCGCAGCCGAGCTGAAACAATCATCTGAAATAAGATGCACGCGCTAGGCGCCAAATGTCTTGCTTGGATGCTCGCGCGTGCTGTCTCCTAGGTACACCTTGGTTGGCTTCACTGCTTTCATGGCCGCAGAGCTTTCATCGGCTTTGCCTTCTCCTTCATCAAACTAACCCCACCCCCAAAATCCAACCCCAACCACAACCCAAACCCAAACCCAACCCAAGCCCAAACCCAACCCAAACCCAAATCCAAACACCCAAGCCAAACCACCCATAACCCGACCCCTGACCCCGAACCTTGCCTGGATGTCCGGGGTACTGGCAAAGGTCCGTGCGGTGCTCTTTGGCTGCAGCCTCAGGCAGCCAGGGGCAGGTGGTTGGATTGCACCCGGGTGCTGAAAGGCTCTCCCAAATCATTCCCAGGGTAAGGCATCTCAGGTCAGAGAAAGAACAGCTCAGGTCGTGAGTGAGCCTTTCAAGGTTTGCCCCTGCAGCACCCCCACCAACAGGCATCTGCACGTTTTACAATCTCAGATTGAGCATTCATACACAAGATCAATGGTAGGAATGGCTCCTTTTTCTTTAGCCGTTCGGGGAGAGTGATGCGAGGGCTCTTTGAGTCTTGGCAGCTGTATTGGGGAAGATATTCGTTTGATATTCCGACTGTGGACTCCACCAATTGTAACATTCTACTAGCACTCTTTCACCACCCTTAAGAAACCAAAGCACAAGGTATGCACAGCTGCATCCAAGACAACCCCCCCAATGCACCCTCTTTCCACCGGAAGTGGAAACCACTTCGTTGCAGGGGCCCACATCCCCAGCCGCTGGCGACTCCGCGAAGCGCACGAGGGGTTTGGAGCACGGGAGCGCCCCGCGGGTTCTCGGCCCGAGCGGCTGCGGCAGCCTCTTGGCGTCCACGGCGCTGCGGTGCTGCAGCACCTCCCGCTGGTCGAGGCCCCGAGCGAGCGGGTGCGGGGCACGGGAGGGGGTGGTCTCGTGGAAGTCGCGGGGGTGGCTGGTGCTGGAAGAAACCGTCAGCCCCAAAAAGGTGGGGAGGCCCGTCTCACTGGAAAAATGGAGTTGTTTTTGGGGCTGAAAAGGAAATGGACCTAGCCCAACTTTCCACCAATGGTGGAGGTTTGACTTTTCAGGCAGCCAAAAGATGTCGGCACACAGGAGAGGTCTCACAGAAGGCTTCGCAGAGCCTTTCTGCTTTGTTGTGCGGATCCTAATGCCCAACCTTCCTGGAAAAAAGGTTATGTCCACTCCATGTCTTTCGCAAACAAAACCCGTCATTTTGCAGGCAAAGAGTTGGCCGAAAAGCCCCTTTCAACCTTCCGTCCGATAAGGCCTTAAAAGCCTTTCGGGGGCCTTTTGCTCTGTCTTGCAATTTGCCCCTTCATCCTTCTTGACTTATGCTGCTTATGCCCATCATCTTGACTTGCCGGCTCAAATTCAACAAGATCACTGCAGGACTTGAGCGGAAGGGTTGGAGTTACTGTTGTCGCCTTTCCTTGTCGTCTGGCGGGATGGCAAAACCAGCCAACACCTCTCTCTCTCACTCTCTTGCTCGTCTGCAACCGCATAACACCTAGGGTCCTCCCTTCAAGAGGAATCTATGTTCCAGGCACCATCCTTCTGTTAGCGGGCACGGCTTCACTCCGGGGAACGCACCACTCTGCTTCATATCTAGTCCACCCCTAAAATACAACATACTGTGGACGAAATCCTGCACGTTCAAACCATGGTTGAACCCATAACGTTTGTTGGTATGTAGCAATTCAACACAATTCTGTGCTTTGCTTTCCCTTCAAAATCCCTTCGCAAATGGGCTTAGTCTCAACCAAAACACCCGAACCAGCCGGGAAACCCATCAGCAACCAGGGCTTCCGGCTTCCCCAAAACGGCGCATCCACAGAACAAGACCCCCTCCTCCCCTCCCCGCCAACCCCCCCCCCAAGCAAGCCCCCCACACCCCCCCCAGAAGGCCACCTTCCGCGCCACCTGGGAGCGTCTGGACTTCAGCGCGGCGTGGACCTCGCTCTCCGAGTCCTGGAGCGCGCGATTGCGCGCGCGGAAGCGCCCCCACCCCGGCGGGGGGATCACTTTGGTCGCAGTTTTTGGATCACTTTGGTCGCAGCTGAAATCCACTCACTTTGGTCGTAGTTTGAGCATTTGCGGATCACTTCTGTCGCAATTTGTGGATCACTTCAGGCGCAGTGGAAGATAGCTTTTTGAGCACTAACAACAGGACACACGCAAAGGGTGTTGCCTCTCAAACACCTAACAACAAGACATGCCGCGTGGGGTGGGGTCGACAAGGATGTTGCCTCTCAAACACCTAACAACAAGAACTGCCGGGTGGGGTGGGGTCGACAAGGATGTTGCCTCTCAAACACCTAACAGCAAGACATGCCGCGTGGGGTGGGGTCGACAAGGATGTTGCCTCTCAAACACCTAACAACAAGACATGCCGGGCGGGGTGGGGTCGACAAGGATGTTGCCTCTCAAACACCTAACAACAAGACATGCCGGGCGGGGTGGGGTCGACAAGGATGTTGCCTCTCAAACACCTAACAACAAGACATGCCGGGCGGGGTGGGGTCGACAAGGATGTTGCCTCTCAAACACCTAACAACAAGACATGCCGGGTGGGGTGGGGTCGACAAGGATGTTGCCTCTCAAACACCATAGTCAACGGCGAAGAAACTAGGACCGAAGCGAGTAAGGAAACTAGGACCGAAGCGAGATGAAAACTAGGACCGAAGCGAGCCAGCAACTAGGACCGAAGCGAACCCGCGACCCCCCACCCCCGGTGTCCTAGGTGTCCTTTGAGGGAAGAAAAAACCGTTGGACACGTCTACAACAGCTGGTAACATGAAAATATATGAAAATACATGAAAATACATGAACATACATAAAAATCCATGAAAATGCCATGGACATATCTAAAACAGTAAGGTTTTGTAACGACCCCTCTGCAACAAACACATGTCTCACTGTGTTTTTTGTTTGTGGGTTCCATGGAAGACCAACTTGACTTCCGAATTAAAGTTAAAGTCTAAAGATCCAACCCAATAGCAAAGGATGGCTCTAGGTGCGCCAGATGAGGGGCATCTCTCAAAATAACCCTGACACTAGCTGAATAGTTGATAGCTTAGTTGGATCACGAACTGCAAATGACGGCGCCAGCGCCAACGGCTTTCCACCAAACTGAACTGTATAGCGGGTTTCGTATTGATGGCAGAGTTTCTAGTGGAGAAGATGCCGATGTTTGAAGGTTTTGGGCGTGCACACTGAAGTAGTATTCGGGAGGCCTAACAGACTTAAGACATAAAAATCAATCATTTTCCTATGTGCCAAAGCTTTCCTCCAACCAAAAGCTGCAGGTGTAGATTCTGATCAAATCCATAACTTCACCTGAAACGCCTCTGTTTTGGTTGAACCTTGGGATCTCTGCATCTGGTGGGTAGGTGAGTGGGTGGATGGCTGGCTGGAGCTTTTCCGTTTCCTCTCAAACCGCTTCAAAGAAAGACACGCCCCTTTTGAGACAGACCATAACTCGGTTGCTTTCTGCTCCCCTGCTAAAAGTTTAACTTTTAGTGGTTTAATACGGAACACCCATCAGTTGGCAAAAAGTTATTCTGTCCTAACATCCCTTGGCAAAATGCAGCAAAGAGAAGGGAAACCAGGAAAAGTACCTTCAGACTTTCAGACCTCCCGGACTTCCTGGCTTTAAGCCCAACCCGTTCCCCAAAAGTCCGGTGGTTCCAACGCGTCCGACGTCCTTGTCGGGCGCAGCTACGGGCAGCTGTCGGTCGATGGCATGGCGATAGGGCGCCGGAGGCGCAGGGTGCCTCAGACTCGCCGAAGGAGTCGATGACCCATCCGTGGGTCAAAACTTAAAGGACCGCTGGTCTTGGGATATCTCTGGGTCGAAAATGGAACCAGAACCGCTGGTCCTAGGATATGGCCATCTTAAAGAACCACTGGTCCTAGGATATGGCCTGGTTGACGTTGGAAGGGGAGCAACAAATTAAACTTTAGCAGCTAAGTGGTTGGATTTCCCACTAAACCACAATAAGCAAAAATGTAAAATGTTTCCCAACAACAACCATGATCAGTGGGTCAAAACTTAAAGAACCGCTGGTCCTAGGATATGGCCATGGGTCAAAAGCCAAATCGTACCCCCGGTGAACATCCCAATCCCCACTAAAATAGACTAAAATCGGTGCCTACCCCAAAGCGGTACCATTGGTTACAGCCATCGAAAATGGAACCAGGCTATGGGACTGCAGGTCTTGATCCACGTTTCCATTGACCAGGGCAAGCCGTTCTTGGGTTCCCCAGTTTTGACCTGTCGCCTTCTGGCACGTCAGCTGCCCGTTTCATAGCACCTGCGAGTTCATGCACACGAGGGTGCCCATTCTGTCGGGGATGAGACTTCAGAGGACTTGAGCCATCCACTCTTACATCACTGTATCTCTGGGGGTCGAAAACCGCGCGCCGTTTGGTCGCCATGTTTGTTTATGTCCCTTAAGCTCAGCCTAGTTCGCCTGGGAGCACTGCGCTTCAGGGGCTGTCCGAGCCACGCAGGAGCCGCCTTGACCGGCAGGGTCCACTTGCTGTCCTCGGCAAATGCAGCCGCAAAAGAATGGGCCGTACCTCTAGGGGTTGATTCCTTGTCCATTCTTTTCAACCATCGTTCTTTCCAAAAGCCGGATTCGTTTTCCCCAGGCTTCCGGAGGTTTTCTAGAAAGATTTGGATCCCTGGCAAGAATGGAAATGGAAGGTACCCCTAGAGAACCCCCCCTTGAACCTTTTGGAAAAAAGAGGAGGCACTCCATTCAACCAGCGGCTCACTTCCGATAGATCAAGTGGGCGGGGTTTTTTTTTGCCGCCTTTTGCGAGAAAATGGGCGACCCCCTCAAAACGGAATCCTCCACTACGAGGGGGTCGATCATTTTTTCACGAAAGCTGGCAAACACACAAAACTTGCGATCGAGTGGACTGGGCCCATAATAGCCGAACTTTGTGTGTACCACTGAAATGGCAACCAAACCCAAACAAGTGACTCAAGCCCTTTGTCCCGGAACTCAGGAAGTGCCCCTTTGAGCCCCCAAAAGGAATCCTCAAACCGATCCACCCAAATCAACTCACAACGGATAGGCATTGAAATGAGCAGGACAGCCCTTCCAAAGACCCAGCGCCTGGTTCAAAGAACTTTGGGCGAGTTTGGCAAGTCCTATTCCGCGTGTCGCCATGCCCAGAATCGACCCAGTCGCGCTTAATTACGTCGTCTCCGCTGAAGGAAAAGCACGCATTGCTGGCTTGCCTCTCACATTCTCCGAGCACGCTCATGCTCACTGCCTTGCCCTTGGCAATAGTTGCCCCATGTGCTTGCTTGCTTGAGCGTCCCATAGGCCCGCCGCTTCATTTCAAACTCAACTGGCAAAACTTCACGATGACCCAACCTGCAAATCCACTGCCAGCGGATTTGGACAGACTCCAAACCAACGCATTTAGTCCTCAACCACAAGCTTCAGTAAATAGGTGTGGGTCAAAAATAGGTACCCCAAATGGAACCCTGGCAAATGGAAACATGGACTAAAACCTGCGGTCCCCTGGTGGCTTAATTTTGACCCACGGCCAAATCAACACTCACCCAACCAAACAGCAGTCTGGTGTCCTCCTTGTGGTAGATGCTCCAGAACTCGTGGGTGCCTTTTCCATCTCGGCCCTGCTTCTTCTCCTCCCCTGGGCGTCCGAAGCATCGGGGATGAGCCTCACCGAAGGGGCCTGATCCCAAAGACGTGCTGTCAGCCAGATCTTCCATTTGGTTAAGACCCCCGGAAAAATATCCAGTAGTGATAAAATCCTCTCAAAACCCACATGGTAAAATAAAAGATATTCATGATATTCCCAAGCGCATGGAAGATATCCCTAAATCCGGGGGGAACTGACGTACATATGGGGTAGCGCAGGCCTCAATTCCCCCGAAGAAAAACCAGAAACACCCAGACATGCTGCTCACATCCGGTTTGCGAGCTTGACACGTGTCCCGTTCAAGCCAGGCCCCCCAAAGGCGTGAACCCCTCCCGGGGGATGCCCAACGGACAGCATTCACCACCGAGAGGCGCTTCTCCTGCAACACGGCCCAGAAGGGCGACAGCTCTGCCTGTCCGAAGCCGCACAGGATCCATCCATGCGGGCGTGGGTCAAAAATATGTAACCACAGCCACATGGACTAAAAGGACAATTAGTACCCATGGGTACTTAGTTGCATCCATTTCAGTCCATGGGTAAAATGAAACATGGAAAACCTGCGGTCCGATTCCTGGTGGCTTAATTTTGACCCATACCCATGTGGGCGTGCCCACGAAAATCGGGCACGTTCTCCTCGATGGGTTGAAAGGGAGCCAGTCTTAAAGAGGAGTCCGCCCTTGAGGTTGCGGTTTGTATGGAGGCGATGTGAAGTTTGCTCAAGAGGTGATGTTCAAAACTATGAAGGGGAGACACATAGCTTGGTTGCCGTTGACTCCTCTGCAACAAGTGTTTCTTTTCAACTTGTTGTGGGTCCAATGGCAAATCCGGCCTGTTTCAACCAAAAAAGTTAAAGTCCAAAAGATCTCAAACAGCACAAAGATAGGGAACCCAAGCGAACGTCTATGGGGAGCGCCCCTTTTTCCCTCTCGTCGCCCGCCTGAAAGCCTACCGCTTTCTGCAGGCCGCAGAGGCGGGTGACGACTGACAAGATCTCCTCGGAGCTCGGAGCTCGCAGGCGCTTGGGACTGGGACGCCTTCGTGAGATGGCCATGTTTCTAGGTCCTCCAGATTTGAGAGGTTGGAATAAGTTGGTACGTCAGGACATGTGTGTTGGAATAAGGAACCCTCCCCTAAAAAAGGGTAAAGGGCACCACTGGCCCTCAAAAGTGGATGGAGACCGGTTGGTGGACATAAATTCCCGCCTAAATGCTGTCACCAAGGGCCCCAGGGTCCCCAATAGAAATTCACACCCCACAAGTGACCGAAACGGGTCCCGAAGCCTACGTCTGCCAACTGTGGGTCACAAAGCTCTAGGCACGACATCCCGTTTCCACCGGATTCAATTCTTAAATTTCGCCCCACCTGTCCTTGACCGCATTATTGGTCTTCGAACTGGAGATGAATGAGCCTCTAAAGAAATCCCGACATATACCCAACTTACCCCTCAAGGCTCATTGCTGCGGAAATGCCCAACTTGCACGCGGTGATCCGAGACTTGGGTTACTTCGCACTGGAAAGGGCCCACCGGGCCACCCAGTCTTTGGCCCTGGACAAGGTGTCTTGGGGCTAAAACATGGACCCAAAAAGAGCAGGGCGCTTTGTGTTGTGCATCCGGCGGTTTTCGCCAGAGGTCACCAGCAGACCAGGGTGCGCCAAGGAAAAACCCTTGGAGGGAAGGAGTCTTAACCAAGAATACAAACTGTGTCATGGGCCGAGACAAAATGTTGAGACTCCCTGCCTTGCATCAGTTTAGCGACCTCAAGAAATACAAAGTCAAAGAATTATCCAAGCTAACACTATCTGAACTCTTAGGCCAAAGCAACTTGGATCCTGCATCGCCAAGGACGTTGCATATCGATCAGCCAGCTCGTAGTACATTGAAGGATAACCCCGTTTCTCTGGGTGTGTGTGTGTGTGGGCAAAGCTAGCTAGAAGCAGCAGGCAAGGCGAGGCGAGGCGAGGCGAGCAAGAAAGTAAGAACGAAATCAAGAAAGGGCGAACGAAAGAAAACAAGAAACAATAAAGAAAGACACAGGAAAGAAAGAAAGAAAAACGAAAGAAAGAAGGAAAGCAAGAAAGAAAGAAAGAAAGAAAGAAGGAAAGAAAGAGAGAAAGAAAAACGAAAGAAAGAAAGAAGGAAAGAAAGAAAGAAAGAAAGAAAGAAAGCAAGCAATAATTAAAGAAGGAAAGAAGGAAGGAAGGAAAGAAAGAAAGAAAGAAAGAAACAAAGAAACAAAGAAAGAAAGCAAGAGGGAATAATTAGTTAAATAAGTAAAGAGTGAAATAATAAGACAATGAGAGAAACTACAAGTGCACGCAAGTCCCTTTGTAAAACGAGCCATGACACTATCAGAAGCTCACGGAATACGAATGCTGCTGGATCAAACCACACCTCTGCCAATACCGGTGATGGTTACGCCACCCCAAAAAGGGATATAGAAGGAGCGTACGGGCGAACAACCCGGCCCAACCTAACCATAGGACGTCCTTTTGGAAAACAAATGGTACTGGCAAATGATTAGAACCAAATGGAAACCAGTGGAATCCTTCTATGCTCATTCCGAAACTGAAACCAAAAACTTGAAAGGACCCCAATGACCCAATCCGCTGCATGTTGATCCCCTGCCCATTTTCTCCTACCCCCCACCCACCCCCCGCTCCCTTCCAACTAACTTCCTGCAACAAGACCTTCACAAGGCCTTTATAAGGACAATCCACTGGTTTCCTTCCAAAATCATGTGAGTGACAATCAAAACCTGGTATTAAAATAGTCGACCCAGAACCATGTAAAGAATTAAGAAGGCGGCCGCAACTATTTATGGCTGGGACTGTTCCTTACTAACCTTCACTTACCCGGGTTTTGATTGTGACTCATGTGGCCTTCACCTAGAGTCTCCAACTTGCTCAAGTCTCCGGGGAGAATGATTGCTGCTAGACTGGGGGAAGTCGAACTGCGACCCTCCACGAGAAAATCATAGATCCTTCTAGGGTCTCAATATTGGAGGAAACGATTGGGTGTGTCTTTTTTAGGGGACCCCCTCAAAAAAATCGTGCTTCTCCTTTTGGCTTCCTGTAAAACCACACCAAAAATGGTACCAACTCCCAAAAAAGACAGACCCACACAGGTGGAACAGGCTTGTGGTTGAAAAACACAAAGTCCCCTGCTCTGACGCGGAATCCGATCCAAAGAATGGGCACCATTCAAACCAAAAAAGACGAAAAACAGCCGCTTCAACAGAGACCCTCCTACTGGGGTCATGATTTTGACGGTTTCTGGGGGTTCTCAAAGTCAGAAAATGGAATCGGTTGTTTCCCTCGAACCCAGCACTGAACGGGGGGTGACGTTGATCATGGTCAAACAATGAGGCCAGTGCTAACAGTCTTTCACTTTTAGTGGTTGCATAAGGAAAACCGCATTTGCCTTGCCGCTAGACCCCTATGACTCCCCAACAACAACAACAAAAACGCGGCACGCCGCGTAAACCCGAGACCCTCCTACGAACCTCCGGGACGGGACCCGTGACCGGGACGAGTGGCTCGCGCTTGGCGCTGGGCGCGCTCGCGGCCGTTGAAGCCATGAGGCAGCTGCTCCTCGCGCGGAGCAGCAGGCGGTTTGGTTGGGGGCTGAAGCGGGGGGGTTGGTTTACTAGGTCCTCCAGACTTGAGAGGTTAGAATAAGTTGGTACCAGATGTTTTTCTCTGTAGTCTAGTTGAGTAGGGGAACCCTCCCCCCAAAAAAGGGTAAAAGGCACTACTGACACTACTGGGGGCAAAATGGGAGACCCAAAGAGTGTTGTGCCGGTTTCCCCCATAATTGGTGATTTGGTGCCCTGACTCCAAAACTCAACCCTAAATCAATCTTGAACCCACCAGAAACCGATCTTCAATCATTACCTGATTCTTCCCAAGGATCATTTTTTTGAGACGGGCAAACAACCTGGCATCGTGGGGGATTCTCCACAAACAATGTGGGTGAAACAAATGGAGGATCACAAATTGAAATTGTGGGATTCTAGTTCTGATTTGCAGGATCCTACACTTCAGCCAGGCTGGTACTACTATTGCTTAAACATTTTTCCTTTGCGTCCTGAAGGAGGCGCAATCCTTCTCTGAAGTATTCGCATTAAGGATTTCTTGGGACCCGGCATCTTCTCACGTAGTATTTGCATTTCGGCTTCTGATACAAGGAACATGCTAGGAGCCGGAAACTTCGTATTGCCTTCTGGGGCCCAGACTCCCTTTCAGCTTCTCACTAATTGGTGGTGTGGATTGGTGGAGTTGGATTTGAACCCTTGGCTTTTGCAGAGGGTCAAAGGGAAAGCACCCAACCTTCACACCTCCACACCACGAATCCAAACCCCAGTTGGGGGGAAGCTGGTTCAAACCATCAATTAAACCAAACCACCAAACCACCAAGCCACCAAACCACCAAGCCAACTGTTGACTGGCCGCGAGTCGTGTTGGGGCATGTGTTTTGGGTTGGCTCCGGGTGGGTTTAGGGCTATCTTTGTGTTGAGTCTAAATGCGTTTAGGCCGGGGTTGATGGCCAGACCGGACAAGGCCCAGCAAGACACGATTCAGCTCACCAAACCCGGGAACAGAACTCGGGACCCCAAATAAAGCGAGCCAGCAAGCCAGCAAACAAACAAACAAACAAGCAAACAAGCAAACAAGTCTAGACATCAAACGAAACAAGCCACAACCAAACCAAATTCAAACCAAAGCAACACAAACAACTCCCTCCTTCCAGAATTCGCTCACATCATTCCGCAGCCGCTCGCTGACGTACTCGAAGCACGCAATCTGCCGAGCCCTGCGCCAGAAGGACCGGTCCGAGAAGAGCTGGCTGCGCCTGTCGGTTTCCCGACCCGCACCAAAGGAAACACTTGCGGCTCGCACCGCAGTAGCATCAAAGGGCTTTCACAGGCTCACTTTTCAGTAAATCCGCCAGGCTGAGCATTGTGAGGGGTTCTCCAAAAATTAGTCTTGGAGGTGGGTTCCCTCTGAACCACCATTCAGAGGGTAATCTGGACCCAGAAACAGGCGGAACTTGTTGTGTGCAACACACGGATCTTCCCAATGGTTTGAAGTTCAGAAACTGAGACGGGCGGTACTGTGCGTAGGGTGGGCCCCCATCTAGAAGTCAAGAATCAATTACATGGCCACGTCTCTTCACATTATGACTCCCCGTTCACCGTTAAAGTTGGTTTAGAATCATTCCCAGAGTGGCAATTTGTTGACCTTATAGCCACTCACCCGCCTCTTTACCTCGCTGTTTCTTTCCTATTGTGATGTTTCCTTCAGTGACACGCCTTTGAGATCACCAATTCCGGTTTGGATTCTGGGATGCAACACACACACACACACACACATGCCATTCACAAAAACTCGGGAAATCCCCCCAAACTCAGCGGACAGGTAAATTAGAGACCAGACATGTGTCGCACTGTGCATTGGGCCTTGCAACTGTTTCATGTGTTTTTAGCTTGTGCAAACTGGTCACAACCAGCTTGTCTAATTTACATTTGGGGTCTGCCTTCGGGCTCTTCCTGTGATTGCACCCCCACGGCCCCGACCCGCCCATTCCGCTGCCTCCCAGTTGCCTCGACCGAAGCGGCCAGTGCTGAGAGCAACCGCATGGGAGTTGGAAATAAACAGAAGACCCAAAAACTTCCATTTGCTTCAGAATATGTTTGTTCCTTTGTTGGTTTTACAGAGAATCCAAAAACCTTCATCATCGACTTGTGACAAGCTGGTGCACTTTGCAAAGGGTGCTCTTTGACCGAAATCGGTGGTTTGGAAGGTAAGGGGATTCGGATAGTCTCCAACGGCCTCCAGCAACAATAAGTTCAAGTCCTCAAACGCAAACCACCACTTAAGGCTGAACTCCTGAGCAACACCTTGCTTTGGTTTCCTCGAGCAAAAAGCAAACACGGAGGTGGAAACTCATTTTCAGGGGCCGCTCGAGATGGGTCCCTTCTGGCTGCGAGTCCTGCGCTGGGTTTCAGAACTGCCGGCAGACCACGCACGCCGTGTCAAAAAGAGCCCGCAAAGCCCGCAAGGTGGCCACTTTGCAGAAGCTCCTCCAGACTCTTGGTGGCTTGGAACAATGGCGACGACGGGGAGCTGTCAAGGTCTTCCGACACCACCGATGCGTCATCACGACATTGACGCACCTCCACCGTCAAAGAAGATCCAGCGCCACCCCTCTTTGCGCCGCACGCCTTTGGTGGCGTGAACGCTGCCAGAGCAGCAAGCACAAATGGCACTGGTATACTTGCTGTCGTCCAACAGGGGTTCCTGGAAGGGGCCCTGATAGGATCTGCAACTCGCTTGCTTCAGGTCAACGTTCCTTTGGGCAACTTCCGGTTTTTTGAATTCAAAGCGTTCAGGCACGAGCTCCCTCCCCTCCCCAGGCTACCCTAGCCTCCCCTTCACAAGCATGGTGTACAGTGCGAGTAAAAGAAATCGGTTGGTCGAGGCCCAGGGAGGCTGAAGGTCCATTGGGGGGGGCTGGACTTCTTAGCCAATTTCTTCACCTTGTCTTGATTTACTGGGCTGTAATCTCGCGGCTCATGAAGGACTCCAGGGGGTAGGCAGCCTGAACCGGGTTCAATTTCTGAAGCAATCCCCTCAAAGAAATGGAAGCTTTTTGTTTATTTCTATTTTTCGCCAAGCAAACTTAGTTATTGAATGTAGTGGATTTCTTACAGGCCCTTCGCTGATGGTCAAAATGCTTTCGGAGCTTTTGGAGCTTTTTAGGAACCCTCCGCACTAAGAAATTAAGCCCCTGGAATTCTTAGTCGGCACTTCCCTGATTGTCAAAAATGCATTATTCATCGCACAACTTTGCAAAGAACTTGGACGAACAATCCAGGGGGCTCAATTTCTTCGCACCACATGCAGTTGCAACAGACTTGATTTGGCAATCTCAGCTGCTCAATTTCTTATACAATGGTTTCTTCTACAGTGCTTGTGCTGTCGTGCACAAGCGCAACTCTTTCCGCAAGTTTCTCCCCGTTCAGGCCCGAGTTGGAGGAAACATGAGGGAAGGTGGGGGTAGAGTAAGGGGCCAACAAAGCTATCGGTAGGAACCTTTTGCAGTTGCCTAACTTCCCTAAGATGTCCTGACCAGCCCTAAGTACAAGTGTGCTTCGACCAGGAAAAAGGGAGAACTCTGTTTGCGGCTGGTCGCGGTTGGCAAACCAACGGAACGCCGCGAACACAAACCTTCACAGGCGCCCGTCACGGGCGCCAGAGAAAAAAACGCAAAACGTCTCTGCCAAAACTGCCCCCCTGTTTGGGTGTGTCTTGTTCAATGGGACCCCCCAAAATGGCCTTTCGGTTTCCTTTTGGTTTCCCTTCGGCCACTCAAAAAGAGGTACCCTAAACAAAGGACGAGCCCCTGAATTGGACGAGGAGTCGCAACCAACCCTCGCGCAATCCAAGATCCAGGCTGCGGCGTCCTCCTTTCTTGGCTCATCCTCGCTGCCGGAGGAGTCTTCCTGAGTGCAAGTCTGCCAAGGCATCCAAAAGGGTCCAACCATAGGTGGCCTTTTGGAAAAAGTAGATGGGTGTCCCTGGTAAATGGAGCAAAACCCATCTCAACCAGGGGTGACCCATCTATCTTTTTATTTCCCAGGCTCACCTAAAAAGGACACCTTTGGGTCAAACTGAAAGCAAGTGGCAAGAGTTGCTGCCGGCGCCCGGGTGGAATTGTCCAGGAAGGGAAGCCAACAACTTGAAAGGAAGATGAACAGTAGTTTGCAGGAAGAACTTGGCCCGAGCCCTTCCTTAAAGTGGTTCCATTTGAAGGCCCTCTTCGGGACCCAGTGGACGCCCTGTTGAGCCACCATTCAGCTCGGCTCATTGCGAGGATGTCGCTTGAATGAACTCATCAAGGCCTGTGTCGACACTGACACATACCTAAACTTTCCAGTCACCCAGCAAGGGGCAAGAGTCTTTGAAAGGCAAGAGGTTCTTTTGGAATTCTCAAGTCCGACTCCATGTGTCACATGTCCAAGCCAAAGCCCAAGCGTAGAAAACTGGTCCGAATACAGTCATGCCCCAACTGACCGAACTAACCGCACGGAGAGCGGCATGCAAACGAAGAACCCTCAATCGTCCAAGAACCGTGTTCGGCACCACCTACCAGAGTCAAATTATGGCTTCGCACGTTTCAAGGACTAAACGCTGCCGAAGCTTAGAGCTGGGTTCCATATTGTTTCCAGAAAGAGAGGGAAGCGGGCTAGAAGTGGAGAGGCAAACCTCCCCGGAACAACTGCCTCGACCCAAAGCGAGTAGGCGACGAGAGGCCCTGCAATTTGCACCAAGGGCTTTGTGTTTGTGCAACCCCCGTATGATTTCGCTTGCGAAACAAAAACGGCTTGCCATAAATGGAGATCTCCAGAATTCGTGTTCTCCCGCGATCAACATGGGGTGGGTCTGTTAGTAACCTTGCTTATAAACCTATTTGCGTATGGGTCAAAAGTAAACTACCAGGAAACCGCAGGATGTAGTCCATGTTTCCACTCACCAGGGTTCCATTTGGGCTGCCTCTTTTTGACCCACCGCCATTTAAAGGACTGACCAGGAGCTGTAACGCCAGGGTTCCTATACAAGATGCTCCAGTAGAGAGCTTAGAATAAGGGTACCACCTTTTTTCTGTAGTCGATTTTAGTAGGGGAACCCTCCCAACAAAAAAAGGGGTGAGAAAGGGCACCTAACTGGGGCACCTAGTTATAAACCTATTTAGAGGACTTAGGAGCTTTGACGCCAGGGTTCTTATACCACTTCCCCGCCCTGCCATAGGTGGCCTTTTGGACAAATAGATGGGCTTCCCTGCTAAATGGTTTACAAAACCCATCTCAACGAGAAAAAACCCATCCTTTTTTTTAACCATCACCTAAAAAGGACACCTCTGGCTGTGAATCAGGGTCGAAGGTGCTTGATCCCACCTAAACCAGGAACCTCCCCCCCCAAATCCTCCTTCCGAAGTGGAATCGCTCAGGCTTCCCCGATCCAAATGGAACAAAACTGAAAAACAAAAAAAACAAAAAGACAAAAAAAAACTAAACCTGGGGAACCCATCTAAACCAGGGCTCCCAAGTAGTGTCTTACTAAAAAAACAAAAACATCTAAACCAGGGGGACCCATCTATCTTTAACCTCTGGGCCATCTAAACCTGATGGCTCACCTAGGGACACCTCCCCCCCCACTCTGCCCATTGCGCCCCGATGGATCCGATCCGAGGCCAAGGGGCCAGCAGCCACTTCTCGAGGTCGCGCTTCCCCAGCAACTCCTCCGCCTCGGCGTCCCTGCGCAGGAAGTCCTCCGAAGGCGACGGGATCGGGAAGGCGAGCCGGGCAAACCCCCCCGATAAAACGCGAGGATAAGACGGCTAAGGGTCTTTGGTTTGACACCCTGGGAAATACACCCAGGTATTGATTTTTTCTTTAGGCAGATTTCCGGATGACACCGTGTTGTTTTGAACCATTCTGGGTCATGTTTCAAGGGTGTAATCCCAGGGTGTAATACAAACACCCTCAGACGAACGCCCCCGGTAGACGCGAAGCTAAGACCCCCCCGTCATTGAAACGTTGAGCGATTCATGTCCCATGAAAGGTGAGTTTGGTAAAGGTGATGTTTTAAGGGGACATGTGGATGTGGGTCAAAACCCTGTACCCCTGCGGTGAACATGAAAATAGGTGCCATCCACCCCAAAATGGAGCCATAGGTTGCTTTCTGCTCTCCTGCTAAAAAAATGTGTTTTAGCGATTTAATACAGAAAACCCATGCGTTGGCAAAAAGTTATTCAGTGCTAACGTCCAAGCAAAATGCACCAAAAGGGTAAGGGCCCCGTCATTGAAACGTTGAGCGATTCATGTGGATGTGGGTCAAAACCCATGGTACCCCTGGTGAACATGAAAATAGGTGCCAAATGGATGTTCATTCACCCCAAAATGGAGCCATGGGCTGCTTTCTGCTCCCCTGCTAAAAATTTAACTTTTAGCGATTTAATACGGAAAACCCATTCGTTGGCAAAAAGCTATTCAGTGCTAACGTCCAAGCAAAATGCACCAAAGGGCAAGGGCCCCGTCATTGAAACGTTGAGCGATTCAAAAGGATGCTCATCCACCCCGAAATGGAGCCATAGGTTATGCCCCATGGCCATGTCTTGACACGGCCCATCTCTTGGGGGGTGCCTGCCGATATCACATGACTTGAGGAGTGGGATCTTAACCTACAATGAAAGTAATGCCCGGAATTGCGAAGCAACATCACTCTTTCTGCAGCTGCACAAGCGAGAAATCAGTTGACAAGTTTGCCCGACGAAAGTGTCGGCTCGGCGCAGCACACACCGTTCGGCGAAAAGGCCACATGTGGATATCTGCTGTGAACTGATATTACAACCCTTTTTTGTTTTGTACTCGGAAATATGAGGCCCGGCTTGCAAGAGATGTGGAACTTGGTCCGACGCGGGGACCAACCAGGCGAGCTCATCCAACGAATGCGGGCGGAAAAGCAGTGCCCAAATGCTCAGGAAACGCAGGAAGAGAGGGAAAAGGATCAACTGGGGAGCTTCTTTCTGAAAGGCCCGAAAATCCCCTTTTGGGTGGTGAGCAAAGCAAGAAAACAAAAACCTGGTTTTTAGGGGGTCTGATTCCGAATTTGGGCATCGGTTGGTTGGTTGTCTAAGCCCCTGTCGATCAGTCTATCCCACTGAGATCGACCGTGGGATTACTCTGTTTTTGAGGGTCGACCGACGCACAATGGGTATCTGGAAGACAGTGTCCATGTATGTTCTGCTTTGCGGGAAGCAAGGATCTCGAAATATCAGACGAGCATGGTTTTGACAGAGGCGCTCAATTTGGATACCCAAATCAAAAGTGCAAAAAAAAAACTTCACAAAACTACCCATGTGTGCCCGCAGAATTGAACCTGTTCCCGAAACGGGTGCCTAAGCCTCAAGAGTCTTGGGCAAGCAGAATCGTTCCCCAAAGAGAGACTCCCTGATTCCCCCACTTTAGAAGCGCGAATGCCAACTCCGGATCCATCCATCCAGACCCACTTTTCCCCAAAGCCGGCCTTCCTCCCGACTGCCCGGGGGAAGCTGCTCAGCGAAACTCTCATCCAACTTCAAGATCAAACAGGGCAACTGTCCGAGACCCGGAGGAGGGCAAACTGGGTTTTAATAGCACCAGAGCCTGGCATATGCCATACCAAGCAATTTTCAGGGAAACCAGGGAACCCAAAAGGCTGCTTAAACAAGCTCCCAGTTGCCCAGCTGTGGGTAATTAGAACAACTCGGGCCCTCGGCGTTGCCAGTTGATACTTTCACTGGGAACAAACCCACCCCATCCACCCAAACTCCCTCTCCAACACACCTGAAGTCTCCACCTTCCCCAACGCACCCTAAGTCTCCACCTTCTCCAACACACCTTTAGTCTCCACCTCAAAGACCCGAACAAAAAGAGCAAAACCCCAAGTCTCCCCATCCGCTTCAAAAAAAAATTGTCGAACCAACAGAAACTCCGAGCTTGCGATCCTCGGGTGTCGCATCCCGCCTGCACCAGGCCGCCGGTGCGCTCCCGTAGGGCCGTCTCCGTGCCGCTGAGCACCACCTGGCGACTGGCAAGCGGCGGCTGGGCGTTTGGGCGTCCCTTGGCTTGCTGGAGGCCTTGTTTGGGGGGGGAACCCTTCAAGAACCCTAGCAAATGGGTTTCGTGACCAGCCAAACAACCCTGGAAAAAAAGGGGTGTTTTGACTATAGCACATATTTCAACCATCGCCTTAACCAAGGAGAGTTGAACTAAAAAGGAACCCATGATGATTGAACGTCCCAAAATGCAGACACCTTCTTGGATTTGTCTTCAAATGGTTGAGTGTCCTGTAGAATCCAACCCCCCAAAATGGACGGGATTGCCCACGACACCCAAAAGCACATCCTGCAGACTTGGGCCAAAGCCTTATTTTGACCCATACCCGTACAGATACCCGAATGGGAGTACCAAAATGCTTGGTTGACGTTGGAAGGGGAGCAAAAATTGATTTGTTTTAGCAGTTAAGTGGTTGGATTTCAACCACTCAACCACAATAAGCAAAAATGTAAAATGTTTCCTGTCAAGAGACGGCAAGGTGACGTCCCGTGGGACGCTGTGCACCGAACCCTCAAGCTTTAATACCAACCACGTAGAAAGGTGTATACGGACGATGCCGTTATAGCCGAACCCGTGTAAACGTTGTAAGGAAGAAGGAATGATAGTTACGATGGGTGGTCCTGACTAATGCGGCAGCGTTGTTTTGCTTTTTAATGCCTGTCTGTACAAGGTCAACGATCTTGAACCTCAATTGTGTCTTGAGCCAAATGGCGATCAATGGAACTTGGGAAGCAATACCAACAAGGACCTCAGAACAGCTACCCAATTTCGGCACGGGGCCTAGAGGGTTTTAACATCCCCCATTTGGGTCGCATCGTTCATCATGCGGTCCAAACACCACAAAACGTTCCACTGGCCACGGCTTCAACTACGAAATCGTGTCGTGCATTCTTTTATTTGCTATCACTACACCGTTCATTCGCTGTGAAACATGCCGGGTTCGATTGTGCGAAAAGTGAAACATTCATCCTCCAATCGAAGCACACATCCATATGCAGGTGTATATATAATACACTGTGGCCACTTCTCATGACCGCCAGTGAACATTCCAGCTGCCGCATTTGCGCATCGCGCAGCTGTCATCCATAAATGGGTTGGCCACAAATGTCCACCATGCGCGCCCGCTTGTGATCGGTCTGCATATCTCCGGCAAAGAAACATCGGTGAGTAATCAATGCAAATCATAGCCATTCCAGATACCATGGACAATGCATAAATAATGAAAAGATATCATCTATAAGGTAATAATTCCATCCATGAATATCCAGAGCGTCATAGTCGTCGGAATATGTAACCATGTACACATCCATTCATCTTGGACACATGAATATAAATCATGACATAAGTCGTTCCACCGAAACAGTGTCGATGTGACGCAAGTAACAGATGGGGACTGGCCCACATCGTACCGCAATCATCATCTTCACGAAGCATACCTGTCCCCAATGGACAGCCTATGGGTACGTCGGCGGAACTCCTCGTCCAAGTTCTTCTGGGCTTCTCGTGCCCGGACACACTTCTTGTTGTAGTCCTCTGGCAACCAGTGCCCTTTCCGAAGGCACCAATCCAGCAGGGGTGTGTCGCATTTGTTCGGGTCGACGGCCGAGATGATGGCGCTCACGTTGACCGTGTAACCATGTTTGCCAAGGTTCAGGCCATCCCTCACGAATGATATATACTTACAGTTGAAAGCTAGTGCAAAACATCTGAAAACAATATCACCCACCGGGTGCACTCGGTCCTTGACCAGGAGCTTCATTTCTTCCTTGGTGACATCGAGGATTCTTGCTGCAATCCACAGCTTGTAGAATGTGTATAGTCCCTCGCATTTGTTCACCATCATACGAATATATTCGTCACGCTCCTCAACCGATCGGAAGGCTCTTGTCCGAACATTCTCCGATTGAGAAATCTTCGTTATCGTTGATGGCAAAAGTATACCTTCCTGATCGTGCTCAGTGATGTTGGGGTACCTCCTGAAATCATTGTGATAAGGGCAGCCCGGATTCCCTTCGAGTCCGGCATTCATCGTTCTCTCCTCACCACCTTCAAACATCCCCCACATCTTGGACAGCTGGAGTGCGATAAATCCTGCCATGTATTGAGCCTCACGCGGCTCGTCAAGGCAGATCGCCATCCGTTGGGAACTTATAATGTCCCGTGACGTCAGATCGGTGTCGCGGTAATGCCAACCGCCGTCTTCTTCTTCTGACGCATAGCCGGATGTATATCCTTGCGTGTCCATGTCATCATCTTCTCCCGGAACTTCTTCCGCTTCGTCCTCATCCTCCTGTGCTGCCGCATCGTGGTTAGCTTCTTCCTGCGCACGCCTGGCATCTCCAGAGACGTTGGGGTTTTGGTTGTCCTCCTCGTCATCGGAATTGATGTGAATGCAGTATCTTCCGATGGAGATCAGTTGTGCCTCGCACTCCAGGCATAAGCAGAAGCAGGTGGGGATCGCGGTCGCACATGATGGACATATCCGGCACCTCAGTCCTTCCCATGTCTCATCATTCAGGATGACGACTTTGCTGACTTCGTCCCGGACCTCGTTGACCTGTGCGTTGAATTCTTCCATCTTGTTGTTTCGATAGAGTTCGCAAGCACGATTAACCATGTCAACGATGTAGTGCAGATTATCGGCACCTGTCTCAGTCTCCGGCATCCTCTCGCTGATCTTTGCGACGTTCTGGAGGAACATCGCAGCCGACTCTTGGGAACGCCCTCTTGATGTCAGCGTACTCCAGGCGCTTCCCTCCATTGCTTTTGCCAATCCAAATGGACTTGACCTCATAGAACGGGATCACGTCAAAGACCATGAAAGTCCCATTAGCCGCGACTCCAGCCCCATACCGCGCGAGGGTTGCACTGGGAATATAGATGATCGCAATCGGATCTCCTCTCCTCACGTTCCGTAGCGTTGTCTTCGTCGCCACGTTCATCTCATCCCATGGAGCAAATGCCCCGAAGTGCAGTGCTAGCCTGTTACCGCCATCGATCCCGCCGGGACTAGCCCACAGCGTACGATGCTTGGCAGGTTTTCCACATACGTCACATGGAATGCTCCTCCGAGAGTATCACCCATTCTTGCGGAATACCTATTCGCCAGTGCGGATGAGCTCATGAATCCAAAATCACTGTGACCGGTTGTGACTCGGATGCACCAAGGTCTGTACCATCCATCGCATCCGTTGAACATCCTGTCGATGTCGTCCCGATCCACGCCAGCTTCGGTCATTTCCTCCCTGGCTGCCCTCGTGTCGTTCGGGTTCATGATGCTCGGAAACCTTGCTGCCAAAACCTGGAATCTCGATTTTCTGCTTCCGGATTCCTGCCACTTGATCACCTCCATGATGCCCATGTATCGTTTCGCTCTCGTGGTGTATGGTGGGAACATGTCGTTGTTCCGGTCGTCAATGACAGCATCAATGTCGACCCATCCACCCTCGTCGCACCTGAAAGCACTTCCTCGGCAATTGCCGATCTTGTGTCGAAGGACTCTGCATAGGTCGTGAGATAGCTGGTTTGCTTGGTCCCTTGTAGTAAATACCGAGCGATCATCGCCAATCCTGCATAGTGGAGCACCGTCGAAAGGAGCAATGCAGAAGTTGACACTCTTGCCAAGTTGCATCACGTCCACTTGCTCAAGGATTGCACCTTTGGGAAAGTATTTGGGGTCAACGATGGACGCATACGCCCATGGCAAGTGCACATTACTCACATCGCCATACTTCGGGATGTAGCACGGGATGGTGTCGCATCCCATCTCAAGCGTCTTCTTGAATGTCCTGCTGTCCCCGCACGGGTTGTAGGTGAGGTCGACGCCACCACATTGTAGCTCTCCTCCCTCAGCCGTGTCAGCCATCTCCACCAAATTAATAGTGTAGCTGTACATCTCAATTGTTTCTTTCCCTGCTTGTCCTCCTCTCTTTCTTTCCTTGGACGTTGATGAGGACGGTTCCTCCGTATCCCCCATGTCTTCATCAGATGAAACAGGGTCACTGCTGAGTAGCTCACGGAGCACCTTCATCGCCTTCTCATTTCCAGCAGCCTCCTCAATGTCCTTGCCGTCGCCGTCGTGGGCCAGGTTCGCGCACTTCTTACAGATCCCCATATCTCCCATGCACTTCTCCATTGACTCCAGGAATCCTAGTGCCGCTCTCCGCCCGTCGATCACTCGCTGCTTCTTGTCTTCCTTCTCAGTATTGGTCTGAGAACTTCGACTCGGGTCTGGTGCTTGACCAAGACCCTCGTCTTCGCCCTCCGTGGCCTTTCTCTTGGAACCTTGTGCAGAGGGCTCGGTGATCAGGGATCGTGGATGTCTGGGCTTGACCTTGTTCATGATGCCAAGCACCTCCTTCGTGGGCGCGCCGAGCTGTGCGGACGGTTTGTTCCGCTTTCTGTTCTGGCCCGTCGTGTGGGTCACGTTCCCAGCGAGGTGTCGCACTATTGACTGCTCGAACTCCCTCTTGATCTTCCATGCGTCCTTCCACAGTGGCAGTTCGTGCTGAAAGTACGACATCACCTCAAAGAATCCCAACACCATCTCGACGACGTCTCCCAAGGATTCCTCGTTCGTGGTTTGTCCCAGGAGTTCGTACATCGTTCCTTGGTCGAGCACACTCTTGATCCATGACGAATATGCCACATTGCCGAGATCCTTGCCTATCACGAAGATGGACATCCTCTCCTCGACTCCCTCGGAATTCTTGCACACGATCACATCCCGGGATGCGCACAATTGCTTCCCGTGACCGTTGTTGTAAAACTGCGCTGCTTGATCCACAGTCATGCTCACGAATCCCACGTGAGAAAGCTCCTTCTTCAGCCTTGAGTACGCGAGCTCCCGTATGATCATGATCATGGCCTGGATATTGTTGACGTCCACCATGAGGTTTTGAAGGTCGGGGATTGCCACCACGCATTCCGCGAAGAGGCGCGTGTACATTTTCTTCCCCTCGATAGACATTGCAATATCGTTCGTGTCCGCGTTCCAGTTCGCGCAACAGTTCACGCAAGAAGAGGGATTGTACTTCGAATTCGGTCCGAGCACCTTCGACTTGCTCATCTGCATCTCTTTAGCGCAAAGTTCGCTGATAAACTTGCTGAGCTCCGTGATCGTATACCATCGAAGACGTTGATCACCGATATCGGCTTTCCCAAAAGCATCCTGCTCGCCGTGTCCTTCAGCTTGCTGCTCTTGTGTCCTCTTCGACTGTGCAGTGAAGGTCGGCTTGTACTCGAATTTCACCTTCGATTCCTCCATGTTCTTCGGGATGTTGAATCG